AAATAGGCATTCATGAAAAGCTGTTCTTCCTTGAACTCATTTCCAGCTCTCCAGAACATGGCATTGTTATGAGTATGGCTCTGATATGTGGTGTTCTGCACATCAGTCCCTTCTCTCCCCCCTTCCAGTGGGTTCCTAAGTGTAGGGTAATGCCTGCCTTTTTATGCTGAAGGGAGGAAAACAATCTGGCAGCTTAGTCTTCCTTAGCACTACCATAGACCTGGCAGTGCTTTCCCAACATCACCAGAGCCAAAAGGGTCTGACAGCAGCCTGATCTCTGGAGGGACAAGTTGTTCAGCTGAATAAAAAAACATGGGAAAGTGCTGTTTAATTGTAATGCTTCCCATTCTGCAGGTCTCCAGGCTGTGATTTTTTGCCCTGATGTTAATGGCTCAGAGAGGCCAGGCATGAGAGGTGTTTCTAGATGAGAGTCACCAAGAGATGGCTGGGCAAGAGGAAGCTGTCACATCTCAGAAGCTCCTGGGCCTACAAGATTATTTTTTTTTTCTCAGCAGTCATCCTTCCCACAGTCTGGGAACTGTGAACATATAACACAACCCACACTTGGGAAAAAAAATAATAAGGTCAAAGCTTCTCATTTTAAGACTATCCTAAAAAGGTGTGTACAAAGTAATGACAAGTGCCAAGCAGGCAATGCTAACTGTTGCTGGCGCTGACAATTTCAGCATTTTTAACATGCCATCTTGACATCTTGAAAATTAAGTCTCTGACTTTTTTTTTGTCTGAGAGAAATTAACGTCCACTAAGATCTGGTCACTTTTAATGCTGACTGGCTTTTAAGCAGGATAATCTGAACTGGGCTTTAAATTCACAGAAAAATTATTTCCTTTGCTATTCCCCTTCCTCTCAGCCTTTCCTTGCCCTCTGTCCAAGATAGCAGGCTGAAGGCAACCAGACATTATACTTCTAACAGGATTTCAGCCTTGAATGCCCTCTTTTTCCTCCACTAAAAAAATGGCAAGCTAGATATGGCCATCTGGACATATCCTTCTCCTCTTGGGCATTTGGTCTGCATGGTCAGATCTGTTTTTGAGTTTATTTGACGTGCTGCAAACTAAAATGACTTGACGGCTTTGGAAGGGGCAGGGTGCACATGTCCTAACTGAAGCTCTGCTGCTGATGCCCAATAGTGGCTTTGTCTGCTGAGCCATTTGGCCTGGCATTGACCGTTCTGCCAGAGCCTCCATCTGCTAGGCCTACTTCAGCTTAGTCCGGAACAGACCTTTTCTTGGTTTGTGATGGGGCTTTTTTTTCCTGATGCAATCACCAACCCTTTGAGGTTAAGATAAGTCCCTGAAACATGTGGTCCAGCACTGTTCTCGTCTCCTCAGGGCTCTGCTTACATGTTTTCACCAGCACATCACAGAAAAGCTGTGCTGAGGATGCTGTGAAATCACTATCCTTGTGTCTGCTGACAGAGAAGCTTGGGCACAACTCTTCCAAAAACAGCAGCCTCCATTCTTCTTTCTCAGACTACAAGCCTACAAGTTTAAAACTAAGCCTACTCAATGCTGAGCCAGATCTCATCATGGTGCTGTAATTCACTGCTGTTTACGCATACCACAAACGTGAAGCCATACGTGTCTTTAGGAGGAGGCAGGGCATTTAATTTCCTACCTGGGATATTTCCTTTCTCATGTCCTTTCTGCAGTCTTGAGGCGTTAGTGGCCACTTTCAGAGAGTACTGTGTGACTGTGGTTTTGTACTGGCAAGTATTTGCTGTGCAGAAAATCCCGACTATAGGGCTGTGATAAAGGGAAGGAAGCAGGAAATGGATCATTTTCACAGTCAATGGAACTCTCATACGTCCCTCAGCATGGTGGGATTTAATTATTTGGCAACATCACTGTTTTTCAGCAGTGTTGTTTTTTTTCCTTATGTCTTCTCCAACTTCTTCCTACAAGTATGGATGCACTACTAATGGCTCACAGGAAATTGCTGATGTAAAAGGTATCAGGGCTTGTTTATCAGAGGATTTTGCTTTGATAAAAAGGGGTTGATTTTCTGCTCTGCCTTGCTTTACTCAGTGTTGTGCTCTTAGGAAGATATCCCTGCTCTGAAATTCCTTATCTCCTGGAAAGGGAACCCAGGTGCAATCAACTGTTTCCCCAACATCTCTTACTCCAGTTGCCTCACCAAGAGCTCAGCCATCAACACAAACTCTTGCACAGCAGACTGGCTTCCAAGTTCATTTCTCTTTCCATTCTGGTGCCAGTTAGAAAAGGCTGCTTAGGTTTTCATCCAGGCAAGGACTGAGTATCTCTAGGGATGGAGATTCTACCACCTCTTTGGGAATCTGTTCCTATCTTTGATTTCCCAAAAATGAAAGTTTCTTCCTCATTTTGAGTTAAAATTTTCCTTGTGTAGCAGCCCTTGTCTGCTGCTTTTTGCTGATCACTGTGAAACTCCAAATGTTGCCTATGCACCTTTCCACTAGGTATTTGTAGACAGTAGTAAGACCTTCACTCTTCTTTCTCTCTTTGAGTGTGAAGATACCCGTCTTTCTCAGGCACTGCTTGTACGCTGTGTGCTTGCAGCCTTCTGATCATCTTGGAAGCCCTCTGGTGGACTTGCTTCTGTATGTCAATGGCATTCTTGTACTAGTGAGCCCAAAACTGGATGTAGTGCTTGAGAGACAGCATCTGAAGCACCATATAAAGAGATATAACCACTTCCCTTCACTTAGGTGGTTATACTCCTGCTAATACAACCTAAGATATGGTTCATCTTTGCTGCAAGGGCACACACCACAAGCTTACACTGAACCTGTGGAGCCACTACTTCTGCTGGGCTACTTTCACCCATCAGCAAATATCAGGGTGGTTGAAGTTCCCTGCCAGGCCTGTGACTTTGAGGCTTCTTCTATCTTACAAAAACATACTTCATCCACTGTCTCTTCATAATGAAATAGCTTGGTAGCAAAAAAAAAGAGCCATCAAGTGTGACACTGTGATACCCTCTGATCCATAGCTCCCAGCCAGCTCACCATTCAGAACAGAGCTGGGTGTACTCCAGTCATTGTGATGATTGTATTTGTGCACAGCCCATTTGAGATGGGCCCGCAGCTTTCACAAGCAGAGTGCAAAATCCTTTGCTGTTGTGCTGGTCCCCTCTGCTCTCTCACTGACCATGGTGCCATCCTTTCTCTCCATACTATGACAATCCCTCCCCACTGTACCTCATTTGAATCCCTCCTCACCTAGGTTAGCAAGCTTGCCTGCAAATATGCATTTGCCTTGTTTTGTTCCTGCTTGGGTGCCCTTGCTCCTCCAAAGAGGTGCCATGGTCATAGATACTGAAGGCCTGGCTGTGAGTTTGGGGCCAACAGAATGGGCCCCATTGCTATGAATCCAGGTACACAGCTTGCTGAGGTGAGTTGCTCTCTTCAAGCTTCATTTCCTTTTCCACACCTATCTCATAGGCAGTTCTGCCTCAGAAGGGCCATCAGCCACTCCTGCCAAGGAGCTGAAGGGGAGGTTGTTGTCTGTTTACTCTGTGGTAAGCAAAGCAGAAAATGATGTTGTTTCATTCCTCGCTACACACAAATTTGGAAGCTGGGGAAAAAAAAAAGTAGAAAATAAGAAGATTCCTTTTTAGCTAAACTCCCTCACCTCCTCCTGGGTGTGAAGCGTGGAAGAGACACAAACATGAGGATGGAGAAACAGCCACGGCTTGTTTTGCCTCAGAAAATGGCTGGGAGGCTGAAACACAGGGCTCGCACCTTGCCCACAGCCGCTGGTTCAAGCCCTTGTGGAGTCACTTAATTCCTGTGACAGAAACTCAGTTGCTTGGGAAGGCCTTTAAGGCACCAGGAGCACAAGCTGTGGCTGGTCTGAATTCACCTTTAATCAATCTACTGTGCTTTGGGAGCTGTGCCATGGGAGGTGCAGGTAGTGTCTGGCATCCTGCTTGGCTGAAAGGCACCACAGAAAACTTCCTGCTGTTCTTGTACCTTCACGCAGCAAATCTCCATAAGCCGTGGCTCACATCTCTGCTTCTTGAACTTGTTGTGGCAGTCAGAGAGGAAATGAATTTAAGGGCTCTCTAGATCCATTCCCAGCGAGTGTTTGGTAACACAAGCAACAGAGCAGGGCCACTTGCCCTTACCATGAGTTACCATCAGTATCAGATGTACCTCTGATTCTGTGCCAGGTCTGGAACCCTGCAGGGGGACATAAAATAGTGTCCAGGGTTATTTTAGTTTCAAAATGAATGTTGAGAGCTGGGGCAATGTGTAGAGTTGACCTTCTTCTGTCCAGTGCTGGGGCAGTAAGGCAAGTTCTGAGAGGTTCTTTTATGAAGCCTACAAACATAAAGTGTCACAGTTGCAGAAAAAGATGTTTCTACCTCTTTGAAGATGTAGGTCCTCAAAACAGAGGTCCCCCTGTAAGGCAGTTCCCAGAAGAGGAAAATTAAGAAGATAGCTAAAGGAAGTCTGGTGCAGGAGGCTTTCCTGGAGACACTGATTGGGTCTCCTCATTGCATATTTCAGGTGAGTCATGCTGGTCCCATGACTATGCCACCACAGAAGTTAGTGCTGCTAGGCTTTTTGGGCATTGTATCAGGTGCTCTCTAGTCAATGCTGGCAGCTTTCTTACAGCCAGAAGGCCCTACTTTTTCAGTGTTTCCTGACTCAGCTGTGACCTTGCCCATGTCTCTGTTTCGGTTCTATTTTCCCTCTCTTGGCTGCTTCACCCCATGCATACTCCTAAAAGCAGAGCATTGGTCTGTGTATCTTTCTCTTTTTACATCTTTGCACCATTGAAAGTTTGTTACGCTTGAATTGATTTTCTCGGCTGCTGAGAAGCCATAACCTTATACTTGGAGCACTGTTCTAATTCAGAAAACTGGGTGGTAAACTGGAGTGCAATCTGTAAGAGGAGTTCATGTCTGCCTCTGGTTAATAAGTAGATAGGTTAGTAAGTAGGACCAGCTTCCCTCCAGAACTAATGAGGTCCAACTTTATTTTGTCTTTGCAGTTCCACCAAAGATCTCCAATATCTCCTCGGACATCACCGTGAATGAAGGCAGCAATGTGACCCTGGTTTGCATGGCAAATGGGCGTCCAGAGCCTGTGATCACCTGGAGGCACCTCACCCCAACAGGTAAGTGGCTCAACGGGCCTGTACCCTGCTGATGATTTGTGAACTCTGCAGTAGTTTCCTTTTTTTCCAATGTTACTGAAAATTTTAGTCGAAATTCAGGCAACTGCAGAAATGAGGCAAGGCTCCTCAGTGCATTGCAAGCATGTTTTGTAGCATGACCTCCAAAGCATGATAACTAGATTGTCCCAGGGAACAATTGAAATTACTTCAGTAGATGTTCTGCAGAACTGGTCTTGTGATTCTGTTTAGCTTTGGCCTTTGTCTAGCTGTTCCAATCTCTACTTCTGCTAATGCACATGAAGGGAGTGGGAAGAAAACAATGCTGGAGTGGGAGAGAAAGAAGAATTTCTACTTTATTATTCTATGTATTACATAGAAGAGGTTCCTTCTGAAAAATGGTTTGCTTACCATTGATTCACCTTAAAAGGGAGAGGAAAATAGTAGAAGCGGTGATTTTATATTACTTTCCACTTTGGCAGACAGTGTTCTTGTGTCTTGTGCAGTGAGTAAAGGAGATACTTGATCTGCCATGCAAGTGAAGAACAGGCTAGAGGCGGAATTATTCAACAGTTTTGTTCTGCTATCTAAGTATACCTTCCATGTTTGAGGATGTGGCAAGCTTGGAAGGAAGATGTCCTTTAAGTAGTCAGACTCCATGGTGATAGCAGTGTGAGTTGCAAGGAAACCTTAAAAATTATCACTGGGGATGGGAACAACTGTTGGGTTTCTCTTCTTCTGTATCATGTCATTTGAGGAGAGAGCTCTTTACTGGATTTCCTTTTTGCCATCATAAATTTTGTCATCTGAAGCATGTGGGGAAAGCATTCATTAACTCTGTATAGTATTCTGTGATATTGCCATACATGTAGAGGGTTAAGGAGAGCTTGAAGTATGCAAAGTACAAGCCTTCTTTGTATGCTAGAGAAATTTAAGCTGTCAGCCAGCAAAGGGAAGAGAGTTGCACAAAGAAAGTTAGAGAGAGGGGGGCCAGAAGGAGATGATACAACAGGGCCCAATCCAAGTGCTGCATCCAGAAGCCCCTGGATTTGATGTCTGTGGTTCAGATTGGTGTTTTTCAGATTTCCTGTCTCATCTCCTCAGCCAAAGCATTCATGTATTTGAAATCTAGATATGCATCTTGTGGTTTGGGCCCATTTCTTGCAGAAGAAGGAAAGAAGATGGGTAAAGGCTGCCAGGAAGAAGTGGGAAGAGCAGATGTGGGGAGCTGATGTGGGGAACACTAATATTCTTTGGTATCATTGTCACTGCTTGATTTTCCAGCTTTTTTAGTATTAATTACAGATGTGCCACTGACATGCATGGGGAAATAGGTCCTATCTTTTTCATCTTTAATTATGTACTTAACATCTTTTAACATTGACAGTTTTGCTCTTAAGATTTATTTCCTACTGAGTCTTCCATCTTACTGTACCCTCAGTCTTTTAGTCTTCCACCCAACTTTTTCTTGTATTTTAGTATGAAACACACTGTGAGCACAACCTAATATTCGAGTTAAAGGAGTTACAGGAGAATTAAATTAAATCTTCATGAAAACTGAGTCCTGACATGTATCAGATGCATCATTCAGAAAAGGAATATGAAGATTCTTGTCTTGGCTCATCACTTTGGCTGCATGCTTGTGTTTTGAGGTGTTTTTCAGTTGTACTGCCTACTCCGTGGTATCACAGACTTTATTTCTCCCTTCTGAGGACTCCTTAGAGTATATTTCCATTCTGGCAATCCTGTCTGGTAAACAGCTGGACTGGGGAATCCCACCCCTGCTTTTATTTCTGTGTAAGTTTTCATGGGTCCGTTCATCACTTTCCCAATGTGCCTCCTCACTTTTTTTCCTGTGTTATGTGTCTGAGAGACATTGCCTTGTTAGTATCCATCAGTGTCTTTTCACTAGCCCTCTTTCAATCAAACCTCAGTCCTTCCCTTTAACAGTGAAGCCCACCAAACTCCTCCTTTCTAACTGGGGAGGAAGAACAGGCAGTCCTTCATGACAGTCTGTCATGTCCACATCTCACTGCTTGTTCTACTGTGTCTTCCTGCATCTCAACCCATCTATTATCTTCTATCCGTATCTTTTATCCAAAGGAACTGATTTCAGGCAGAAGTCCAGTCTTTGTGTAGCCAGTATACCAGTAGGACTCTTGTCCAAAATGAGGGACAAGAGGGTTCCTTTTAAATGTTTTCCTTGAGGTTGACAATTAACAAAAAATTTCAAATCTGTTTCAAAGCTACCATGGTTAGAAACATCTTCTTATCTTGGAATCTCCCTTTTCCAGGATTGTCAGGCATTTTGGCTCGATTTATGCTAGTTTTGAGCACATCTGCTACACATCAAAGAGCTATTTTAGACATTGTAAAGGTTTCTAAAATCACTCTCTTTTTCTCTCTGTGGATCTTTTTGTGATTAAACTCGTGACTGCAGAATTCTAAGAACAAATGTTACAGAGCTTGTGTAGGAGGTTTTGAGTGGACAGGTTGTGAAATTAAACCAGCACTGGGGGTCGAGAGAGCCAAATTACTTTTTCTTTGTGCACTTTCCTGAAGGAGTTCATTAGCAAATTTGTCTACTGTTTCTTTCATTCATTGATTTGGTCAGTAGTGTTTGGCTAATTATCTGGGTTAGGACCACAAAAATGATTTATTTCTTGTTGGCTGGGAAGTGGAAGATGCAAATGCAAAGGGAAGTGAGTGATGCTGCCTTCTTTGTGCACAGGAGGCAGAGATGCATGTGATCGTTCATTTAAATGAACCATCATATCTCACTCGTTTGCCTATCTGGGAAGTAGAAAATTCACTATAAAAATGCTTCATGCCTTCCTTTGCTGGTACTTTAGTGAGTACTTGAACAAGGCATTTTTCTTGAACTAACTGTAAGGCCCCAAGCCTTGAAGCAACCCACAGGAAAACCCTCTCTCCTTCTCTAGTGAAATAACTGAAGTTTGGCTGTAATTGTTGACTCTAGCACCTGGGAAGAAGACAGATAAGGGGAAAAATACTTAATAATTCAGATGGCAATTGACAATACAGATCAGCTTTAGTTCCAAGCAGTGTGTAGTAATGAAAGCAGAAATGACATTGCTTGAAATGATACAAGTCCTTGCTCTCCTCCTCTGTTTCTCTTCAGATGATTGTCTGACTGGATTTTGACAAAGCAACCAAATAAGAGAGTCAGCCAGACCCTTTTCTTCCTTATCTGACAGGTTCCAGTGCTGTAGGACCAGGGGAACAGCATCTAACTAGCTATGGATAGCTTAATAGGCATTGCCTGGGAGCACAAACGTCATTAGCTCTTCTCCTTCAGCCAGCAGAGGTCTTATGGGATTGCTGACCTGCAGCTTCCAGTACCTCCCTGCACACAGTCCAATTGCCTCCCTTGTGATTCAGGACATGAGCTTATTAAGCCTCCTGTGCCATGTGACTTCTCATCCCACTATGTGATGGTAAGCCTTAGAAACCCTCTGAAATGGATGTGTAAGGAGTCTGTAGTTTGTTCCTCTAGCATGGGGATGAGTATTGGAGATTACTAATACAAGCTAGGTGACTTAGCAGTTGGCAGCATTAGGAATATTTCACTTGGGGATATCCTGTAGGCTCTCATCTCTTGAAAGGGAGAAAACTCAGAATCTCCCCCCTGTGACTTTCTATTAGGAGTGGGTGTTATCCTATTGTTTTCTTCTTATTATTAGCTCATAGCCTACACAAAGGTATAGATTATTTTTTCCTCACTGAATGCAGTCCAATCAAATTCCCAGTTGTACCACAGACTGGAGAAGGTCCCAGCTCAGGGCCACGTATCATTCATCATGCTGGCAGGTTCTGTGTGGGCTACCAGGGGCAGCCTACCCATCTGTGGCCAGTTTCATTATGAGATGCTCTGTTTTCCCTGAACCATGCATCAGGAGAACAACTTACACAGTCAAGAAAAGACCCAGTCAGACTGTTTACAGATGGTAGGCAGTGTCTGCTTTTGAGCTCATCTTAGTTTTATTTCACATCTTTCTTGACTTATGTTTATTCAGGCTAATGCATGTTCTCCCTACCCATAAGCTGCTGAGATCACAATCCAAGAGGCAATCATTTATCATTCCTCATCTCTCCATCTTAGTCAGAGCCATGCTAGATGCTTGGTTGACTGAAAAAGCTTCCTGGGGAAAATAAATATTCATGTACATTCATATACTTCTCAATAAACTCTCTCTCAACAGCAGCCCTAAAGCCCTTGTGAATTGAGTTAACAGCAACATGGACATGGACTGTTGTTGCAGGCATCACCAGAGATCTCGCTACCAAGCCATTGTCCTAGATGGGCAGACAGACGCCAAAGAAAAAGGCAGCTTTCGTCTGACAGAAAGAGTCATCCTTCTGCTGCTTTCCCGTGAGGTGTTGGTTAGAATCTCCCTGAGGGCCTTGCTCCAGGATGCTGTGGCAAGTTCTGTGATATTAGTACTCAAGTGTTTTGGTAATCTCAGAGGCTGTTACAGGAAGGCAAAGCTACACTGATCTTTGAGGCTCAGCTCAAGGTTGAATAAAAGGGATTTACTGGTTCAGTGTAACCAGTAGAGTAGCAAACCATTCCATTTTCCTAGAGCAGTTTCAGTGTGAATCCTCTATGAAATCACCAGGTATTTCATTCCCAGTCTGACTTCCCTGAACTCAGCATAGCAAGGCAGTTTGACATGGAAGACAAAAGAGTCTGGATTCTCTCATTTTCCTCCTGACATTCTAAGGATGTACTTTGGCTCAAAAAAAGAGCTTAGTTATTACAGTAGTAATCACAGCATAAAAAAACAGTCTAGAGCAAAGCAGATAAGTATTGATTACAACACCCAAGTTTCATGTCACAGTGTAAAATGAAAGGAGATGGAAAAGCTTGTCAAATATGCCAGGCCAATTCTCCGTAGGGGGTGGTAGAAATTCTCTTTGAGTCTTAGAGAATTTACCATAACCTGGGAGGTTTAGAAGGGATAGGGAATACAGAAAAGTGC